GATAGACAGGGATGTTCACTACCCGTCCTTCTTTCCCGGGAACAGGGGAAACACACACACACACACACACACACACACACACAACAATGCCAGCTGTGCCTTGCGGGGGGGGGGGCAGGAAGGAGACCCCCCCAAAGGTAGACAGGGATGTTCTCTACCCGTCCTTCTTTCCTGGGAAAAGGGGAAACACACACACACACACACACACAGCAATGCCAGCTGTGCCCTTTGGGGGGGGCAGGAAGGAGATTTCCCCCCCCCCAAAGATAGACAGGGATGTTCACTACCCGTCCTTCTTTCCTGGGAACAGGGCAAACACACACACACACACACACACACAGAGCAATGCCAGCTGTGCCTTGCGGGGGGGGGGGCAGGAAGGAGACCCCCCCAAAGGTAGACAGGGATGTTCTCTACCCGTCCTTCCCCCCCCCCAACAGGGGAAACACACACACACACACACACACACACACACACACCCCTTTGCAGGGCACAAATCTTGTCAAGGGGGCGGGGCCTGCCCCAAAGAGCCCCTCCCTCTCGGACCCCCTCTCCCACATCTGGAGACATCCCACCCGGAACGGTGGGGGGGGGGACTGAGCCCCAGGGCCCGGCGGCAGCCTTGGGGGGGGGCACCCCGGAAGGCCCAAGTGGGGGGGGGTCTCTCTGCCGGAGGGAATGGGGTAGGGGGTGCTGGTGGGCGGGGCCTGGGGAGGGGAGGGGCTGGCCTGGCTGGAGCTCACAGGATACGAGGGGAGGCCCCCCCCATCCCCGTCCTCTATTAATCTTGGAATTAATCTGGGCATGGGGGGGGTTTCGGAGGAGAGCCCCCTTTTGGGGGGGGTCTGGGGAGGGGTCTCCCACAGGAGACCGCCCTTCCTAACGGGCACAAATCTGGAAGCTCACACACACACACACACACACACAAACCGACAACCCTGGGTTCTTGGGGGGGGGGGCCCACACAACATTCCCAAGGATTCTGATCTGGGTCCAGTTGTTGTTGTTACTGCGGGTTGCTCTAAAAAAAAACGGGGGGGGGCTCGTCTTTCTGTCTCCCAGGCTGCGAGTGCGAAAGAGGGGCCCCCCTCAGCCTGGGGGCGGGGGGGGGGGGAAGAGCTTGCACACAAGACACACAAACACACACACTCTCCCCCGAGGCCGGCAGTTTCTTTTTTTTGACCCAATTTGGTGCCCTGGCGCAAAGTGGCTAATTTTAGCGCGGGGGGGGGGTGGCGGGGGGGGAGTCAGCTGCAGGCAGAGCGCCCTGGGCCCACTTCCTCCGCCGCTGCGGCCCCCCCCAGCTGAAAAGAGGTCCAGATGGAGACACACAAAGACACACACACACACACCCCGTGTCTGCAAAGGCTACTCTCTTTTGGGGGGGGGAGGGACTTTTCCATCTCTTCTTCTGCCCCCCCCCCAAGCTGCCCCCTCCCAGCTTAAAAAGGGACCTGGGGCATTCCCCCCCCCCAGCTTATCCAGACGGACACACACACACACACACACACACACACACACACACCGTGTCCCTTTTTCACACAGTGTCCCTCTTCAGCGGGGAGGATGCCTCTCACTCTCACTCTCTCACTCTCACTTTCTGGCTCCTCCCCCTTTTTCTCCCTTTCTCTTTCTCTCCCTTTCTCTCCCTCCCTCTCGTTCTCTTTCTTTCTCTTTCTCTCGCTCCCCCTCTCTCCCTCCCCCCCTCCCTCTCTCTTTCTCTCCCTCCCTCTTTCTCTCTTTCTCTGGGTCCTTCTCTCTCTTTCTCCCCCTTTTCCCCTTTCACTTTCTTTCTCTCCCTTTCTATTTCTCCTTTTCTCTCTCTTTCACTTTCTTCTTTCTCTCTTTCCCTCTTTCTTTCCCCCTTTCTCTCCCCCTTTCTCTTTCTTTCTCTCTATGTCTCCCTCCCTCTTTCTCTCTCCCCCTTTCTCTCTTTCTTTCCCTCTCTTTCACTCTCATTTTCTCTTTCCCTCTTTCTCTCTCTCTCTCTCTTTCTCTGCCCCCTTTTCTCTCTCTGCCTCTCTTTTTCTCCTTCCCTCTTTCTCTCTCTCTCTCTCCCTTTCTCTCTCTCCCTCTTTCTTTCCCTCTCTTTCTCTTTCTTTCTCTCTGTGTCTCTCTCACTCCCTCTTTCTCTCTCCTCCTTTCTCTCTTTCTTTCCCTCTCTTTCACTCTCCCTCTCTTTCTTTCACTCTCATTTTCTCTCTTTCCCTCTTTCTCTGTCTTTCTGTCTTTCTCTGCCCCTTTCTCTCTCTCTCTCTCTCTCTCTCTCTCTCTCTCTCTCGGCCTCTCTTTCACTCTCTTTTTCTCCTTCCCTCTTTCTTTCACTCCCTCTTTCTCTCCCCCTTTCTCTTTCTCTCTCCCCCTCTTTCTTTCCCTCTCTCTTGCTCCTTCTCTTCCTCCCTCTTTCTCTCTCTCTCTCTTTCTCTCCCTGTCTCTTTCCCTCTGTCTCTCTCCCTTTCTCTCTCTGCCTCTCTCTCTTTCACTCTCTTTTTCTCTCACTCCCTCTTTCTCTCCCCCCTTTCTCTCTCTTTCTCTCCCTCTCTCTTTCTCTCTCTGCCTCTCACTCCCTCTTTCTCTCTCTTTCCCTCTGTCTCTGTCCCTTTCTCTCTCTGCCTCTCTCTCTTTCACTCTCTTTTTCTCTCACTCCCTCTTTCTCTCCCCCCTTTCTCTCCCTCTCTCTTTCTCTCCTTCCCTCTCTCTTCCTCTCACTCCCTCTTTCTCTCTCTCTTTCTCTCCATCTCCCTTTCTCTCTCTGCCTCTCTCTCTTTCACTCTCTTTTTCTCTCACTCCCTCTTTCTCTCCCCCCTTTCTCTCTCTTTCTCTCCTTCCCTCTCTCTCTCTCTCTTCCTCTCACTCCCTCTTTCTCTACCCCCTTTCTCTCTCTCTCTCTCCCTTTCTCTTTCTCTCCCTTTCTATATTTTTCTTTCCCTCCCTCTCTCTCTTTCTCTCCCTCTCTCTTTCTCTCTCTTTTTCTTTCTCTCCCTCTCTCTCTTTCTCTGTCTCTTTCTCTCTGTCCCTCATTCTTTCTGTCTCTTTCTCTCCTTCCCTCTTTCCCTCTCTCTCTCTTCCTCTCACTCCCTCTTTCTCTCTCTTTCTCTCCCTGTCTCCCCTTCTCTCTCTCTCTCTCTCCCTTTCTCTTTCTCCCCCTTTCTATATTTTTCTTTCCCTCCCTCTCTCTCTCTTTCTCTCCCTCTCTTTCTCTCCTTCCCTCTCTCTCTCTCTCTTCCTCTCACTCCCTCTTTCTCTCTCTCTTTCTCTCCATCTCCCTTTCTCTCTCTGCCTCTCTCTCTTTCACTCTCTTTTTCTCTCACTCCTTCTTTCTCTCCCCCCTTTCTCTCTCTCCCTTTCTCTTTCTCCCCCTTTCTATATTTTTCTTTCCCTCCCTCTCTCTCTTTCTCTCCCTCTCTTTCTCTCCTTCCCTCTCTCTCTCTCTCTTCCTCTCACTCCCTCTTTCTCTCTCTCTTTCTCTCCATCTCCCTTTCTCTCTCTGCCTCTCTCTCTTTCACTCTCTTTTTCTCTCACTCCTTCTTTCTCTCCCCCCTTTCTCTCTCTCTCTCTCCCTTTCTCTTTCTCTCCCTTTCTATATTTTTCTTTCCCTCCCTCTCCCTTTCTCTTTCTTTCCTTCTCTTTCTCTCCTTCCCTCCCTCTCTCTTCCTCTCACTCCCTCTTTCTCTCTCTCTCTCCCAATTGGGGGTCTGACCTGGGGGAGGCCATCTTTGGCCTTGGGCTTTGGGACCCTCCCGGCCATGCTCGCCTCCCCCCCCCCCATTCCTGGCGTGTTTTCCCAGCCCGTCTGGCGCCAAAATCACCGGGCCCAGCCGGGCTCTGTTGCTCCAGGAGAGGGAGGGGGGAGTGGGAGGGGGGGCAACTGCCCCCGTGCTCCCTCCCTCTGTCCGACTGGCGGGGAGGGGGGTGAGTTGGGGGGGGCTGCCTCTTTTGAGAGCAGAGCAGGATGGGTAAGATTTCCCCCCCCCTAATAATTTGCTCGCTCCCCACTTCCTGGCCAGTTGCTTCTGGCTCGGGGGGGGGGGGGCCAAACATGGCCGATGGTAAGCGGGGACCCCTGGGAGGAATCGTGAAATAAGAGAGTGGGAAGGGGCCTGGGAGGTCATCTAGCCCAACCCCCTGCTCCAGCAGGAGACCCTGACAGAATCGTTTGGAAGGGGCCTGGGAGGTCATCTAGTCCAACCCCCTGCTCCAGCAGGAGACCCTGACAGAATCATAGAATGACAGAGTTTGAAGGGACCTTGGAGGTCATCTAGTCCAACCCCCTGCTCCAGCAGGAGACCCTGACAGAATCATTTAGAAGGGACCTGGGAGATCATCTAGCCCAACCCCCTGCTTCAGCAGGACACATTTACAGAATCATTTAGAAGGGGCCTGGGAGGTCATCTAGTCCAACCCCCTGCTCCAGCAGGAGACCCTGACAGAGTCATAGAATGACAGAGTTGGAAGGGACCTTGAAGGTCATCTAGTCCAACCCCCAGCTCGAGCATACATCCCTGACAGAATCATAGAATGGCCAAGTTCGAAGGGGCCTCAGAGGTCATCTGGACCAACCCCAAGCTCAAGCATTGGAACGTGACAGAATCACAGAATGACAAGAGTCGGAAGAGGCCTCCGAGGTCATCTAGTCCAACCCCCTGCTCAAGCAGGAGACCCTTACAGAATCATAGAATGACAGAGTTGGAAGGGACCTGGGAGGTCATCTAGTCCAACCCCCTACTCCAGCAGGAGACCCTGACAGAATCGTTTGGAAGGGACTTTGGAGATCATCCAGTCCAACCCCCTGCTCCAGCAGGAGACCCTGACAGAATCATAGAATGACAGAGTTGGAAGGGTCCTCGGAGGTCATCTAGTCCAACCTGAGGGAGGCACATCCAGAAAGGGGAGCTAGCGCAGAGTTGGGGTGTGGCTGGAAAGGACGGGGCTGTGACCCTGGGGGAGGGGGCTGAATTTGAAGTTGCTCACGTTGCCTCCTCCCCCCCCCTCCGCACCAGGTGCTGTCCCTGGGCGCCGATGTGCTCCCCGAGTACAAGCTGCAGGCCCCCCGCATCCATAAGTGGACCATCCTGCACTACAGCCCCTTCAAGGCGGTCTGGGATTGGCTAATCCTGCTGCTGGTCATCTACACGGCCATCTTCACCCCCTACTCGGCCGCCTTCCTGCTGAACAACCAGGATGGGCGGGACCACCGGGCCTGCGGCTACTCCTGCAGCCCACTCAATGTGGTGGACTTGATTGTGGACATCATGTTCATCATTGACATCCTGATCAACTTCCGCACCACGTACGTCAACTCCAACGAGGAGGTGGTCAGCCACCCGGCCAAGATCGCCATCCACTACTTCCAGGGCTGGTTCCTGATCGACATGGTGGCCGCCATCCCCTTCGACCTGCTCATCTTCGGCTCCGGCTCGGAAGAGGTAACCGGGTGTGTGGATGGAGGGATGTGTGTGGACGGGCGGGCGGTGTGTCTACACACTCGGGGCAGCTGAGGGGAGAGGGCCCTACGGCGAGGAAGTCTCAACCTGCTCGGGGTGAGGAGCAACCTTTGATGGCCGGCCACGTTTGCCACTTCTTACAAAAAGCGTACAGTGTACGAACAGTCCTCGACGTACGGCGTAAAGCGGAGCCCTGCTTTTCCGCGGCTAAGCGAAACGTCGGCGAAGCGAATTTGGCCCCCTTGTACGACACTTTCTTACCACAGTGGTTAAGTCGCCCACTTGGTAAGTGAATCTAGCTTCCCCATTGGCTTCGCCGGTCCGGCGGTCACCAAAGGAGGATCGCGTGACCTTAGGATACGGCAACGGTCCGTAACCGAGTTTCCTCCCGTTTTCTTTACGACCTCTCTTTTGCCACTTTTCGGACGGGAATCCACGCAGTTGTTAAGCGAGCGACACGGTCGCTGAGTGACTTCCGGCTTCCCCGTTGACTTTGTCAGAGGGTCGCGGAAGGGGAATCACGTGACCCTCCCGGGACGCCACGACCCGTCATAAAGTGGCTGAATCTTGATCCCGCGGGGATGCTACGACGAAAAACGGTCCTAAATCACTTTTTTCCCAGCGCCGTTGTAACTTTGAACAGTCACGAAATAAGCTGTCGTGAATTGAGCGTTAACTATACGGCGTCAAGTTAGGAAAAATTGAGAAAGTCTTGGCTTTTTAAAAGTTATTTTTAGGATCCTGGAGAGCTTCCGGGCAAGGCTTTGACTTTCAGGGACTCCGAAAGGGCGAAGGCGGCGAGACGGAGGCTGTGGTTTTGGCACGCCAGATGTTCCCTTTTTGTTCTTCCTGACAACAGGTGCTTGGCTTTCCGACGGCAAGCGGTTTTTATATTGATCGAGCCAAAATGGATCGGTTGGATGCCTGCCTGCAACGAGAAAGGGGAGACGAGATTGAAGCTGGCAAGCGAGAGGGCAGGAAGGGGGGGGCGACCTTGTTGGTACGGCTGGCCGTCTAGACCAGGGGTCCACAGCCCCCGGTACCGGGCCGCGGCATGTCAGCAACCGGTCCGCACAAACCAGCAAAGCCCCATCCGTGGGATGCAGGCAACACACGAAGCCGCGCACCCTCCGGTCTGCGGAAAAACCGCTCTCCGCAAAACGGGTCCTTGGCGCCAAACGATTCCTTCGCTGAAGCTGGCATCGCTGCCTCCGCCCCCCCCCCCGCAGGCTCCCCTTGGCTGTGGGGAGAAACTAGGCCAGTCCCAGAGGGAGAACGGAGGAAGCCGTGCTAGTAGAGAGGCGTCACGGTTCCCTCGGGCAGCCTGCACGGAGGAGCCGGGTTGCCCGGAGAGACGGCAAGGATCGGCTGCACTCACGGGCGGTTCGGCTCTTCGCCTGCCTCCCCTTCTGGCCAGCAGCGAGTGGTTTTGCCCTCGGGGGGGGGGATGAGAGAGCCACTGTTGTCAGCTGGAGGGGAGACAGGGGGGGTGGCTGGCGGTGGGAGGAGCTGCATCACCGGTGGGAGAAGCCGCAGATGTCCTGTGGCTCAGACAAGGCTCCCCGGACGAAGGTGTAGCTTCACAATTTGCCTCCTCTTTGCCAGGGGTCCCCAACCCCCCCCCCCCGCGGGTCGTGGCCCACTCCCGGCCCTTGACACATTTGGAACCGGTCTGCAGAAGTGGCAAGTGAGCATGCAGGCACACCTCCGTGCGCTAATGGAGCGGGCGAGCGCGTGAACGCGCTCCGTTTGCACCAGCGGCGGGCGCACGTGTCTGCCGCTCGGGCCAGACCATCCCCACCCCCCACCCCGCCGGTCCACAAAGCCAGAAAACGTGGGGAATTCCCCTCTGTGCAACCTCGGAGAATCCCCCACTTACAGTCTGCTTGCCACCACCACCCCAAACCTAGTGGGGCGGAAACAGCTGCGAAAAAAGGGGTCGAGGACACTGTGGGTGGACCCGTCGAAGACCGGGACCCTGGGAGGGGTCTGTGACAACTCGCCACAGGTTGTTACACTAATCTCAACGAAACTATGGAAAAGAATCATTATGTAAATATATATAAAAGAGAATAGAGCTGGAAGGGACCTTGGAGGTCTTCTAGTCCAGCCCCCTGCTCAAGCGGGAGAACCTATACCATCTCAGACAGGTGACTGTCTAGCCTCTTCTTAAAAACCTCCAGCGATGGAGCGCCCACGATTTCTGGTGGCAAGCTGTTCCACTGGTTAATTGTCCTCATTGTCAAGAAGTTTCTTCTTAATTCTACGTTGCTTCTCTCTTTGGTCAGTTTCTAACCGTTGTTTCTCGTCCTGCCTTCAGGCGCTTTGGAGAATAACATGACCCCCTCTTCTTTGGGGCAGCCCCTCAGATACCAGAACAATGCTATCCTGTCTCCCCTACTTCTTCTTTTCTTTAGACCGGCCAAACCCAAATCCCGCAGCCGTTCTTCGTATGTTTTAGTCTCCGGGCCTCGGATCCTCTTAGTTGCTCTTCTCCGATTTTGTTTTTACAAACGCTCCACATCTTTTTTGTGATGTGGGGACCAACACTGGCTGCGGGATTCCAGGTGTGGCCTTACTAGGGCAGTGGTTCTCAACCTGTGGGTCGGGACCCCATTTGGGGTCGAATGACCATTTCACGGGGGTCGCCAAACAAGGCTGTCCGCCATTTTTTCCCCCTTTTCTTTGGCCACGCCCCTGGCACCCAGTGATGTATAAGTGGTTGGGGGTCACCACAACATGGGGAACTGTATTATGGGGTCGCGGCATTAGAAAGGTTGAGAACCACTGTACTAGGGGGTTTTGCAAAGCGGGACGAAGACTTTGCGCCATCTTGATCCTAGGCCTCTGTTTACACACCCCGGGATTGTGTTGGCTTTTTTTGGGCGGCTGCTGCATGTGGCTGGTTCAGGGTTGAGAGATCGCCCACTAGGACTCCGAGGTTCATCTCCCAGTTGCTGTTTTTAAGCCAGGTCTCGCCCAATCTGCATTATTTGTATCTTTGGGGTTTCCGGCCTAAGTGTAAAAACTTTGCTTTTCTCCACCGTGAAACTCATCGTGTTGGACGGGGCCTGTTGTTCATGTTTGTCGAGTATCTTTTTGGAGCCCGGTGGTACCCCCACTGCTTACTCCTCTCCGTGTGGATGTAGTGCCGTTGAGAGCTACTCGCTGAGTACGGTTTGGCAGCCAGCTACAGATCCATCCGGTGGGATGTTGTCTACTCCACCTTTTTCTAGCTTATCCAGGAGTAGGGTTGCGGTCTACCTTGTCAAAGGCCTTACTTGAAGTCTTACGCCTACTACGTCCACGGCGTTTCGCTGGTCTACTAGTGCAGTCTCTTTCTCGGAGAATGAAATAAGGTCGGTTTTGGCGTGATCTCTTTTTGACAAACCCGTGCCGGCTACCGGTTATGACTTGGTTTGCGTCTCGTCGTTCGGAGGCAGAAGGAAGGACCGAGTGCAGTGTGAACGGTCAACGTTAAAATCGTTTCTTCGCGCGTTTTAAATCATTAAACGGAATTGATAAATTTTCCCGTGGCGAGTTATTATAACAACAACAATATAATCATGATGATGATGATAATAATACTAATAACAAAACAACAATGATAATAATGATAACGATAATAATAATATAATGATAATGATAATAATAACAACAATAATGATGTGAAGATAATATAATGATGATGATGATGATAATACTAATACTAATACTAATACTAATAATAATAAAAGTTGGAAGGGACCTTGGAGGTCATCTAGTCCAACCCCCTGCTCAGGCTGGAAACCCTATCCCATTTTGGATAAATGGCTATCCAGTCTCTTCTTAAGAATAGAGTAAGAATAAGAATAAGAATAAGAATTACAATAGAATAGGAATAGAATAGAATAGAATAGAATAGAATAGAATAGAATAGAATAGAATAGAATAGAATAGAATAGAATAGAAGAATGAAAAATAATAATAGAAGAACAGAATAGAATAGAATAGAAGAATGAAGAATAATAATAGAAGAATAGAATAGAATAGAATCAGAGTTGGAAGGCTTTGGAGGTCATCTAGTCCAACCCCCTGGTCAGGCAGAAAACCCCGTTTCCATTTCAGACAAATGGCTGTCCAGTCTCTTCTTAAAAACCTCCAGTGTGGAAGGTGGAAGGGACCTTGGAGGTCATTTAGTCCAACCCCCTGCTCAGGCAGGAAAGCCTATCCCGTTTCAGACAAATGGCTGTCCAGTCTCTTCTTGAACACTTCCAGTGTTGGAGCATTCACCGCTCCTGGAGGCAAGGAGTTCCACTGGTTAAGTGTTCTCACTGTCAGGGAGTTTATCCTTAGTTCCAGGTTGCTTCTCTCCTTGGTGAGTTTCCATCCGTTGCTTCTCGTCCGGCCTTCAGGCGCTTTGGAGAACAGCTTGACTCCCTCTTCTTTGGGGCAGCCCCTGAGATACTGGAACGCTGCTATCCTGTCCCCCCTCGTCCTTCTCTTCATTAAACTAGACATACCCAATTCCAGCAACCATTCCTTACATGCTTTAGCCTCCATCCCCTAACCATTTTTGTTGCTCTTCTCTGTACTCTTTCTAGAATCTCAACATCTTTTTTACATGGTGGGGACCAAAACTGGATGCCGTATTCCAAGTGTGGCCTTACCAAGGCCTTGTAAAGTGGTAGCAACCCTTCACCTGATCTTGATTCTATCCCTCTGTTAATGCAGCCTAGCACGGTGTTGGCTTTTTGGGCAGCTGCAGCCCACGGCTGGCTCCTATTTACCATGGCCAATTGGCCGCGGTGCGTTCGCCGTGGTGACTTGTCGCGGGAGATTCACACCCTCCCCGCCTCTTCTCCCCACGCAGACCACCACCCTGATTGGGCTGCTGAAGACGGCCCGCCTGCTGCGCCTGGTGCGTGTGGCCCGCAAGCTGGACCGCTACTCGGAGTACGGGGCGGCCGTGCTCTTCCTGCTGATGTGCACCTTCGCTCTGATCGCCCACTGGCTGGCCTGCATCTGGTACGCCATCGGCAACATGGAGGGCAAGACCATCGGTTGGCTCCACTCGCTGGGCGGGCAGATCGGGAAGCCCTTCAACGCGAGCACCTCGCACCTGGGTCCCAGCATCAAGGACAAGTACATCACCGCCCTCTACTTCACCTTCAGCAGCCTGACCAGCGTCGGCTTCGGCAACGTCTCGCCCAACACGAACCCGGAGAAGATCTTCTCCATCTGCGTCATGCTGATTGGCTGTGAGTGCTGCCCGTCGGGAGGGGCGGGGCCCAGTTGGGGAGGCGGCGTCCACTTAAAAATGGGTGCCATCTCTGCTTCGCGTCCGCGGCGGGCGGGACGAGCTGGGATTAAGCGCATACAACGCACAGCCTTCCCGAACCGTGCCCGGGGTTACCGGGCGGCGGGCTGCGTGTCACCCCTTGGATTGGGAAGGAGTGTTCCTACCCCGATGTGCCACGTAGTAGGGAGCTGAGGGGAGCCTGGGAACGGAGAGTAGCAGTGGGCGAGGCAGAACCCGTTCCAGGCACTGGGAGTGTTAGCCACAGACGGGTGTCTCCCTTCCTTCTCGCCAGCCCTGATGTACGCCAGCATCTTTGGGAACGTGTCGGCCATCATCCAGCGGCTGTACTCCGGCACCGCCCGCTACCACACCCAGATGCTGCGGGTGCGAGAGTTCATCCGCTTCCACCAGATCCCCAACCCCCTGCGCCAGCGCCTAGAAGAGTATTTCCAGCACGCCTGGTCTTACACCAACGGCATCGACATGAACGCGGTGAGTTATCGGTGCCTTCCCCCCCTTCTCGCGATCCTGGTGGGTCTCTGCTCCCCGGGTGACCGGGGAGCTGCGGGTCGAGGTCTCCCCTCCCCATGGGGCGTTGAACTGCCTGTGCCACTAGGGTCTCTCCCCTTAGCACCCCCCAAGGAGTGTAGAACAGGTCCCCAAGCCCTGGGCCTTGAGATGTTCAGAATCGGGCTACGGAAGCGATGGGTCGGCATGCACGTGCACGCATCCTCCCCCCGTTGCCCGGGTAGCAGGCAGCACAGGGGTACGCCCTCCGTTTGCGCGCACCCGCTGGTCACACCAATCCCTCCCCCAGCTAAAAAATTGGACCTCTGGCGTAGGATACACTACATTTTTGGGGGGATGGCCCAAATCGTTTCCGAGAACGGGATCCGCCTCTCCTTTGTCGGATCGGTCCTCGCGGGCGGACGTTCCTCAGGATGAGAAACTTCCAGGGACTCGATTCGACCTCTCTCCTCTCCCTCCCTCTTTCTCTCCCCCACCCCTGCAGGTGCTGAAGGGATTCCCCGAGTGCCTGCAAGCCGACATCTGCCTGCACCTGAACCGTACCTTACTGCAAAACTGCCGTCCCTTCCGGGGCGCCAGCAAGGGCTGCCTGCGCGCCTTGGCCATGAAGTTCAAAACCACCCACGCCCCGCCGGGGGACACCTTGGTGCACGCCGGGGACGTGCTGACCGCCCTCTACTTCATCTCCCGCGGTTCCATCGAGATCCTCCGGGGGGACGTGGTGGTCGCCATTCTAGGTGAGGAAGGGGCTGCCGCCAGTCTCTGCTCCGTCTCTGATCTTACGGAAAGGACGCCCCCTCCCCAAAGCATCCCTAGAACGGCCCTTGAGAAGGTGGCAGGATCCCGGAGGAATACAGGGAATCCTCTGTCAGTGCGTACACACACAGATAATCCAGGAGTAAATACAGTAAACAGTGGTCTATATTAAATGATGGTTTATCTTACGCTACCTTCAATATCTTACCCCAGGAACAATATACATACACGTGCTGGTACCACAGGATCCAACACACAGCAGTTGCAGCGGGAAACGGATAAGAGAGAGAGAGAGAGACCCCAGCAAAGCCTTCCCTTTTATACTCAGGCTCTTAAAGGGATACAGACCCTGCTTGTTCTCAAAGAGACACAGACCTTGCTGGATCAATCCTGTCCTTGCCTCATCCACCTTACCTTACATCAGCTGGTTAACCTTTAAGTCATTGCCCAGTTCCTTTAGCGACCGTTCAAAGTTACGATGGCACTGGGAAAAGTGGCTTACGACCGCACACTTGCGACTGTCGTGGCATCCCCCAGGGTCATGTGATCAAAATTCGGCCGCTTGGCAACTGGCTCGTATTTAGGACGGGTGCAGTGTCCCAGGGTCATGTGATCCCCTTTTGCAATCTTCCGACAAGCTCATATTTATGACGGTCGCAGTGTCCCAGGATCGTGTGATCCCCTTTTATGACCTGCCGACAAGCTCGTATTTATGACGGTCGCAGTGTCCCGGGATCATGTGATCCCCGTTTGCGATTTTCCGACTTGCTCGTATTTATGACAGTCGCAGTGTCCCGGGATCGTGTGATCCCCTTTTGCGACCTACTCTGGTATTCTGTAAAGGTCTCCTGCCGGTCGGACTAGAAGACCTCCAAGGTCCCCTTCCAACTCTGTTATTCCATGAGTCCGTAAAGGTCCCCTGCTTAAACGGGGTTGGGCTAGAAGACCTCCAAAGTCCCTTCCAGAATTATGTCGGGTCTCCTGCTTCATCGGGCGGTTCCACTGAAACCTCTGGATAGAAACAATCCTTGGCTTCATTTTTGGAGGACGGTATATTATTATTGACCGCTAACAATTGCAAAGCCCGAACTGAGACTCGCGCGCCCAAGTTCCTAAGTTGTACTTTTCCCTCTCTCAACGTTGCCCTCCATTCCGCCCTGAGTGCTCCCCCCAGTATGACCAGTCCATTGCCCTCCCCCCTCAGTATGACCAACCAGGTTCAGACATACTGGTCAGTCCTAGAGCAGGTTGGTACGTGGCTCCCTTCTTCTGCACGCTGGGTGACCTTGAGGCAGCATCTCTGGGAGAAACCGCGTTTATGTCCGTTTCCCCAAGCATCCCCCACTCGTCTCCCGCTCTCCGCGGCGCGTGGCGGTCTGTCCCTGCAACGAAGCTTGACGCGGGTCTTCCGGCTGGTGTCCCACCGCCCTTGTGCATTCTTTGTCCACTCTCCCCGCCCCCCACCCCAGGGAAGAACGACATCTTTGGGGAGCCGCTCAACCTGTACGCGCGACCCGGCAAGTCCAACGCGGACGTGCGAGCCCTGACGTACTGCGACCTGCACAAGATCCACCGGGAAGATCTGCTGGAGGTGCTGGACATGTACCCGGAGTTCTCGGACCATTTCTGGTCCAACCTGGAGATCACCTTCAACCTGCGAGATGTGAGTGGCTCGGGATGGGCTCCCAGGGTCCGGGCTAGCCCCGCCCTCCCTCCCCACCCACCCACGCTGCTCCCCCGTCCCAGACCCGTTCTTCCTCTGGAGTCTTGCCTTCTCCCCGAGTGAGAAAGAGCTGCTTGGCCTTGCAGACCAACATGATCCCAGGCTCCCCTGGCAGCGACGAGATGAACGGGGGCTTCAACCGGCTGCGACGGCGCAAGCTCTCCTTCCGACGGCGCACCGAGAAAGGTGAGTCTTGGCCGGAGGAAACCGCCTCTCTCCGTGGTCCTCCGAGGGCTCCGTGAAGTTTGATTAAACCTTTCTCACTGCTCCCTTCGGAGACCCCTCAGCCTCTCCCCCACGTGTCTGTCGTCGCAGATCCCGGCGAGCAAACAGTGAAGGTTCAAGACCCTGGACCCGCCTAGCTTGCAATCCTGGCATGGAACCGCTGCGAGGCTACGACAGGCACACCCTGTGCTCCCGAGACACACGTAGAGTGCTTTTTTTTTTCCCCTACATGTCCCTCAGACGAGCTACTGGGGGAAGCGAGGTCCCAGCCCAAGGCCCTGCACCTCGGCCAGAACTGTCCGTCGCCAGCCTCTCCCAGGTGGGAAGCGTGCCTCAGCAGCTCGGCAGCCTCCAGCCCGCCCTCCAGCGACGAGGAGGAGATCCCCGTCCCCGTCTCCAGGGTCACGGAGCTGTCGCCTTTCCACCGGGCCGTGGCGCCCCTCGCCGTGCCTCCCTCCGCAGCCCCCCCTGAGCAGCAGAGCAGCGACTCCTGCAACCCGCTCTCCGGTAAGGCCTGCTTCAGAGGGGTTGTGTATTGCTCACCATCCGTAGCGCAATGGGGGGACAGAAAGAGGAGGCGGGCTTGGCGTCCGCACGACATGGGACCGTCCTTCGTTTGGGCCACCCACTCCGCTGCTGGGACCCGGGAGGGGGCTGACCTGCCCATCTCGCAGGGACCCCCCCCTCAGAGGAGTGCCTGGGACTGACCCCTCCTCCCTGCTGTGTCCCTCAGGGGCCTTTTCCGGCATGTCGAACATCTTCAGCTTCTGGACGGAGAGCCGAGAACGGCAGTACCAGGAGCTGCCGAGCTGCCCCCCTGCTGCCCGCCCCACCCTCAACCTCCCTCTGGCCGCCAGCGGCAGCCTCCCCTCCAGCAGGCGGCACCGCGCCGAGCTGGAGGGCCGCCTGGACCTGCTCCAGAAGCAGCTCAACAGGTAAGAGCAGACGGGCACGGGGTGCGTTCGTGTGCGTGTGTAATCGGATTGTGCCCTGCAAACTCAGCCGAATCACCCCTGGGCATTAGCCGGTGAAGAGAAGTCGCCGGGCTGAAGGTTGTTCTCCCCTCCCCATTGCTTTTTTTGGGTGAGGGGCTGTCCTCTTCGTTCTTCCAAGCCCCCAACCCCTCCTGGAGAAAGAGCTGGCTAGAAGCAGGGAAGGGGGAAGCAGGAGAGGGTCCTTCCTGCCCGGAGGAGGCACAATCGGACGGGTGCCCCAAGGAAGGGGCCTTGTTCTGGCCTGTGGTGGTGGGGGGGTCCCTTCCTTGCACAAAGGCACTGCAGACCATTTTCCTAAGGCGGATGGACGGGGAGACGGGTGTATTCCACACAAAGGTGCGTGGAAGAGATGCTTTATTGCCTGTCTGGGCCTACCCCGGCCACCCACCCGTCGTTTCCCTCCAGGCTGGAGAACCGCCTGACTGCGGACGTGGGCTCCATCCTGCAGCTGCTGCAGCGCCAGGCGGTCCTGGTGCCCCCCACCTACAGCGCCGTCTCCTCGCCGCAGCCTCCGCCGAACGCCGAGCCCTCCTTGGGAGAACACCCCCTGCCCTTGGCCCCCATCCTGGCCCAGACACTCTGCACCCGGACACAGGTGAGTGTCCCCTCGTAGACTGGGCCCTGTCCTCAAGGCCTGCAGCACCCCCCCAAAACCCGCGGAACCCCCACCTGGTGCTCTGTGCTCAGACAGACGGGCGGACGTGGCATCGGGGGTTGCCGTTGCGGGTGCTGCCCCTTCCTCCCCCTTTGAAGCAGGTTTGGATGGGGTTTTGGACCCCCAGCCCCGCAAACCGCTCACGCTTTCTCGTCCCTTCTCAGATGCCCCTTTTCCCGGCTCCCCGTGTGGACGCCGCCGAGTCCAGCGACGAGGTGGTGCTGCTGATGGAGCCGCCCTACGTGGCCCCGCGACGCCTTTCGCTTCCGGGACAGCTGGCCGCCACGGAGGACCCGGACTTGCCCCCAGATTTGCACAGACACTGCTCGGATCCCGGCAGTTAATGGACTCAGACAAGGGTCTCTCCGCACGATGGGGAGAGCAGACGGTGGAGAAGGATCGCCGGGGGCCCCCACAGCCCAGGCGAGGGGCAGCCTCCTGGCACGGCCGGCCCATACGACGTTAGCTGGCCTAACGGGCGGGCTGGTCCCGGGGAACCGGCAGGAGGGCTGCAGGAACCGTGGCGTCAACGAGGATGACGACGGCGGAGCAGGCAGGACGCTGACCGCGAGGATCGGAGCGCCGTTTGGGACCCTGAACGTTGGGGTGTTATCGTCCTCCTTCGATCACCCCCAAGTGGCTGAGCAGGAAGAAGGGGGGGGCGCTCCTGCAGGGACCTCACGCTGGACCCCCTGAGGAGGGCAGCTCGGCCCAGCAGCGGGACGCTCCCCCTTCGTCTCACTCTGGGGAGCTGTGATCTTTGCGGTACTCGGACGAGAGCAACACGGGGCCCACGGGGCCCACTTCCTTATTTTGAGAGACCCCCCTCCCCAGATCTTTCATGAGCCCCCTTGCTTCACCAAAGCGATTTCTCCATGGGGGGGGGGAGGCTCCAGCTGTGCAATAATTTAAACGCTCCTTGAATCCATTCGGGGGGGGGGGTGGTTGGTGCGTCGTAGCAGCAACTGGTACGGAAAAGCGGAGACCAGCCCGGAGATCGTAAGGATTGAGGAAAGACAGGTGTAGGTCACTTACTGCTGGGTCACTCCACCCTCCCTTTAGAATCCAGGCTGTCTCCACAGCCACCACCACCCCCCAACTACACATGCGGCTACACATCTCTGTAAGGGGGTGCTTTCTCTCTACACAGGCGCACCCCACTCTCTTCGCTACTTCTTCCTCTGCTGGCGTTGCGGCGAAACGGTCCCGCTGAGAAAAAAAAACGGGGTGCGGGGAGGGGACGTGGCAGAGAACGGGGGGAGGTCCCTGCTCCTTCCCACACCCCCATTGCATAAGCATCCCCCCCACCCATTAAAGCAGCAACCCGCTGCGTGCAAAAGCCTTTCTCTCCCTCCCCCCAACTCTCACGGGTGGGTCCTGCCCCTCTCACTTGGGTAAAGGTGGCTTCGTTCCATCAAGGGGGGGCGATGATTCCCCCCAAACAGGGCAGGTCTCCAGACTCCCCCTCCCAGCTTGTCCCACACATCTGAAGGACGCACAAGATATTCCCCCACCCCACCCCGCATGCTGTCCTCGGCAGTAGCAACCGATGCCCAATAAATTTGGACTGGATGACTACACCGCTCCCCCGTCTCCGTCTGTTTCGGGGGGGGTCCTGTGTGGGTCAGCCTGGGGGTTGCCAAGATTGCCGGGAAAAGAGGAGAGCAAAGGCTTCGGGCTAGTTGACGTACGGCGTCAGTGGAGCCCCCAAATTTACAGTTTCTAAGTGAGACGGCTGTTCAGGGACTTTTGCTCCGTTTTATGACCGTTGGTGAGCGAGCCGCCGCGGTTCTTAAGGGAGTCGCACAGTGGTGGAACGAATTTGTCTTCCCCATTGATAGACGGTCGCCAAAGGGGAGTACGGGACCCACCCCGGGACACCGCAACCGTCGTAAGTACGCGATAGGTGCCGAGCGTCTGGATTTTGATCGTTGAGGATGCCGCAGCGGTTGTAAATGTGACAAACGGCCGTTTTTTTCCCAGTGCCGTTGCAACTTCGAACAGTCACTAACTGAGCTGTCGTAAGCCGAGGAAAGGGAGGAAGGGGAGGAGAGACAAAGCATCCAGGAGTGCCCCTCCCCGCTTTGGACGGCCATCATTGTCAAGGGCTTGTCGTGGCGGGAAAGGACAACACAACCCATCGGTCTACCCAGGGCTGTGGGACCTGGTTCCTTGGGTGTGGGCAGCCGAAAAGGACCCCTTCGGCCACGCTGGTCCTCCACTTACGACCGTTCGTTTAGCGACCGTTGGAACTTAAAACGGCGCCGGAAAACAGGGACGGACGACCGCCTTCACCCTGACACCCGTTGGCAGCGTCCCTTTTACGACGTGATGTAGACTGGATAACTGACCCACAGTTACGACGGTCGCAGGGTCCCCAGGGGGGTGGGGGGGCACGCGGTCGCCTTTTTATGACCTTCTGACAAACGGAGCCAGGCTACACTTAACAACCTGCGGGCATTCGTTTCATAAACGTGGCCGGAAAACCGTATCATGAGAAAACTCAACCTGTTGCTCCTTTAGCGACATAAATTTGGGGCCGTAAGTTGAGGACCCCCTGTATGTCGAAGGGAGGGAGGGGACATAATCCTGGGTCACCTGGCTCAGGTGAGAAAGAAGGCAAGAAGCTGACCGTCCCAGGACAAGAGACGGGCGTCTCGCTCTGTGACTAGCGCAGCGAGTCCTCAATTTACGACGGTTCCTTCAGTGACCGAAATGGCAACAGCACTGGAAACAAAATGCTTTTCACGCTTAAGGACCGTTCTGGCATCCCCAGGGGTCATGGGTGGTAAAATCCAGACAACTGACTCGTCTTTATGACGGTCTCAACGTCCCAGGATCTCCTTTTGCGACCGGACGAGCAACGTCAAGGAGACTTGCAGAGTGACTTCCCAGGCAGGGGCCATTGAGGGTTTTGTGGTCGTGAGGAGGGGGGCACATGGGGCGGGGAGTGGCTGTTGATTGGCGCTTTGGGTGGGGCCTTTGGTGGCACATGGGTCTTGGGGCTCAGCATTCTCGGCCCTTCCAAACGACCAGCCTTCCAGAGTGTGCTTGGCGCTCTCCTTCCGGGCCTAAAAGATTGGAGGTGGCTTTGAAAGAGTTGATCTCATTTATTTTCACAACAGCCCTGCCGGGTAGGACAGTGGATTCACGTGGCCCATGGGGGGGGGAGCCCTGCTCCAAAAGCTACCCTCTGGGGAAACACAACTGGGGGGGGGGAAGGGGAGGAAAATAACCTTGGACCCCCGAGTTGCCAAGTTTGCGTCCTGGAATCCAAATTGTGCCCTTGGCTGCAGTGTCAGTAATGGGCCAGGAGGGGGTGCAAGTGAGGCAGGACTTGGGGCCCCCTGCTGGCGGTCGAGGATTTGGAACCGGGGTAACGCCGAGGCGGAGGACAGCGTGGCCAAGTTCCTCCCCGGTTTTTCTGCCCGTAGACCCTCTGCCCGGCCACGGGCACCGCTGGAGGAGGTCCTCCCGGGCGCGATTCGAACTGGTGACGGCTGCGTTCCAAGGTCGGAAGGTCCCAGCTGAGCTAGACGGGGTGGTACGTGCCGTTGTAGCTGAAGGACTCGTTCGTCACGCACTGCCCGGGGCTGTCCGGCGTCCAGCGCTGAATTCGCACGCCGTCCCGGCTCCCGGCCTCGGCGGGACGCACGATGACCGTCCGACGGGACGCCACCGAGGGGTCTTCGTCGAAGAAGTTGAAGGGGCGCAACAAGAAGCCCACCACGGTGCCGGGCGTGGCCGTGTTGGGGACGTCTTCCGAGTGGGGAATGTGGAGGAAGCCCACCGTCACCCAGGCCACGAGGTCCTACCGGACAGAAGTTGGTCAGGAAGGAGTGCGTCACACACACACACACACACACACACACAAATACACGGAGACACCACACACACGTACACCCCTCTACCTCAGCGGTTCTCCACCTGTGGGTCGGGACCCCATTTGGGGTCGAACGGCCATTTCACGGGGGTCGCCAAACAACGCCGTCCGCCATTTCCCCCCCCCTTTTCCTTGGCTGTGCTCCTCCCTTTTATTCTATTGGCTTTCGAAAGCCAATCGAAGAGACTCTCTTGAACAGAGTCTCATTCTATTGGCTTTCCAAAGCCAATAGGAATGGTCCAGGCTATCTCTGCCTGGCTGAGCCCGCCAAAAGTCCCATTCTGCAAACGGTGCTGCACCAGTCGAGTAGTCCTCAACTTACGACCGGCTGAGTAGTCCTCGACTTAACGACCGGTTGGGGGGGGGTCGCGGCATTAAAAAGTTTGAGAACCCCTGCTCTTACCTGCTTGTCGATGCTCTCGTCCTTCCGGAGGAAGTGTTCGAAGCTCACGCTGGGATTCCAAGGATCGTTCTGGATGTACAAGCTGCTGCTGACGCCTTCGTTCTCGTGGTGTTGTGTCACCGCCAAGTGGTACCTGCGGGGGGGGGGGAAATGCCCTGTGTCAGCTTCCGAGCATGGCCGGGGTGACCCCACCCCACGTGTCTACACCAGTGATTCTCAACCTGTGGGTCGGGACCCCATTTGGGGGTCGAACGACCATTTCACGGCGGACGCCAAACAACGCAGTCCGCCATTTTTCCCCCTTTTCCTTAGCTGTGCTACTCCCTTTTATTCTATTGGCCTTGGAAAGCCAATAGAAGAGACTCTCTTGAATAAAGTCTCATTCTATTGGCTTTCCAAAGCCAATGGGAATGGTCCAGGCTGTCTCTGCCCTGCTGAGCCCGCCAAAAGTCCAAGTCGGCAAATGGTGCTGCGAGTTGTCTGCGGCGAAGGCGAGCTGTCTGGAAGTTTCCACCCATCCCTGCTGAGCAACTACTAACAATGGAAGGAAAAGAGGGCTAGGGGTGGGAGGTGGGAGGCCGGCGGGCGCAGGGAGGGTTGCTGGCGCGCGGGGGGCCCGGCGGGCGCCTTACCTCCCTTGGGCTGGGCCAGCTGGTGGCCCAGCCGGTGGTCGGCCTGCACCGTCTCTGCCCCTTGCCAGCTACGCCTCGGCCGGCGCAGGGGGCGGCACCACGCATGCACGGCATTCCCGGCCAGGGAAAGTCCTCGACCTACTACCGGTTGGGTGGTCCTCGACTTACGACCGGTTGGGGGTCGCGGCATTAAAAAGGTTGAGAACCACTGGTGTAGAGGGACAGGCCTGTGTCCGAGGACCTAACTCCCTCTCCCTCCGTCCCTTATGGTGATACCTTCCTCCGGAAAACACAATTGTAGAGCTGCTAGCGACCCAGAACCCGCTGTGGACCTGCCTCGTGTATCTACTACAGGCTCCCCCTCCGTCTTCTGATACTCCCTCTCCTTATTTTATGCCCAGCAAGGACTGGGGTGTGTGTGTGTGCTGCCTTGGTTATTTCCCTAAATCCCACTCTGCTTTTGTGGGCCCAGGCTGCCCTTCGCCCCAATTTTGTATCCGAAGCGCCTCTCCATCTTTCTGCTGACCCCCTTGAAGAGAACGCTAGGCCGAGACCCCTTATTCTTCTACTCTCAAGTAGGGGCTGGGGCCCACCACTGGACAGCGGTGTGTTGAAAACCGGGCAGTGGAAGAAACGGACAAGCCTGTGCACCGGAGGTTTCACTTGCGCGCGCAGCGGGCAAGCGTGCGCAGGGAGGCGAAGCTCCGCTCCGGCGAGAGGAGGACACTGGTGTTCTCGCACGCGAAGCTCCACTCATGCTCCGTTTGTGTATCAGCGCCCTCGCAGTTGCACGAGTGAAGCTTTGGGTGTGAGCACAAGTGCCCTCCGTTCAAGCATCCCCGCTCCCCCACTGGAGCATACGGGGCTTTCTGCGGGAGCGCCAGTGCCTGCCTCTCTCAACTGGAGATTTTTAAGAAGCAGCTGGACAGTCCCTTGTCGGAGATGGTGTAGGTTCTCCTGCTTGAGCAGGGGGGGCTGGACTAGAAGACCTCCAGGGTCCCTTCCCAGCTCTCTTCTCTTCTGTCCCAGCTCACCTGCTCCAGGTGACCCCGTTCTCCTCCTTCCAGTTACGAGGCAGGACTAGGCCGGCGTGGGAGTTGAGCTGGAGGCGGTAGCTGCGCAGGTGATCCCAGCGGTTCTTCTGGGTGGGGTTGGTAAACAGGAAGTAGCGAGGCATGAGTTTGCCGATGGGAAAGGCCGCCTGGCGCTCCCGCAGGCGTGGCTCGGGCTTCAAGCGAGGCTGCACCAGCCGGTGGCTCGGTTCCCAGGGAAGGGAGATGTTCTCAAAGGCGATGTCCAGCGTCTCGAAGCTGTTGGCGGTCCCTGCGCATAAGAAAAAGACCGGAACGCTTTTTTTAATCAGGTTCACCGTCGGTTTTGGGGTGAAAGAGGATCAGGGGACTGGAGGCTAAAACATGTCGGGAACGGTTGCCGGAATTGGGGATGTCCAGTTTAATGACGAGAAGGATGAGGGGGGGACAGGATAGTAGCCTTCCAGTATCTCAGGGGCTGCCCCAAAGAAGAGGGAGTCAAGCTGTTCTCCAAAGCCCCTGAAGGCAGGACAAGAAGCAACGGGTGGAAACTCATCAAGGAGAGAAGCAACCCAGAACTAAGGAGAAACTTCCTGACAGTCAGAACGATTAACCAGGGGAACAGCCTG